AAACCACCAAAGAGTTCATCAGATAGTGAGGAATTACTAGACCGAGATCCAGAAGGGGCTGAAACTCAAAAGAGGAAAATCCAGCATTTGGGGCCATTTTTGCCCTAGAGTTATTTGAGTGGCTCAGAAAAATCAGACTCTAAAATTAGAATAAGATGATCCAGATTGTTGTTCTCCTGGGCTCCTGGTGGAAACAAAGAAACGTACTCTCTGGCCCTAATTGTTTCTATAAAATTTTTAAAGAAGAAACATTGGACATGCTGTCAAAGCATAGATTCAATAAGAGGCAAGATCCCATGAAGAAGAATGAGAAGAAAACAGACAACAGGAAGAGACTCATGGGGAATCAAAATAATGAGAATTATAGTTTGCTTTGCTAAAACTAACACTATATTCAAAGAGATAAAAGCAAAGCTTGAAAACATTGACACAGAATTGGAAACTATGAAATATAGCAGATTTCAAAAAAAGCCAAATTGAAACTCTAGAACTAAAAATGCCAGTAAACAAAATTAAGAGAACAATAGGTTTAATAGCAAATTAGATACAGAAGAAGAAAGAACTCATGAATGACACATAGTCAAAAGATTAGAATGTCGGATGGCAATAAAAGTCCTTAGCACTATATATATTGACATCCAGGAGGCTGCACCCGGAACACTGACAATGAGATTTGTAACATGAATGTGTGCACCCAAAACTGATGGTGGCTGTCCACGTGGAATGGTAGTGTGGTAGTGGGGAGGGTGCTTATTTGTATAGAAAGTGACATTACATGTGCTAACTTTCTTTCTATGACTTCTCTTCTGTGACTCTTCACATTCTTGTATTCTCAGTTACATAGGGACACTGAAACAAAATAGTAAGTTCTTTAGGTCATAAAAATGTTTAGTAGATTCCATAAGGGACATAAGTACACTACTTGTTGAGATGTTCTTACATGTAATGTCTTCATGCAGTTATGAAGTTAAAGGAAGTTTTATTCAAACTAGTTGTTCTTTTTAACTTTAATCTGAAGTGAATAATTGTGGGAATTATTTGTCCTATGTGTTGTTCTATCATACACCCATTTCATACTGAGTATATAGTTACCTATTTTAGTTTTTAAAATTTAAAGTTTTAAGTATATTGATAATTAAAAGTTCAACTTAGGTTTGCTAAGTCCCATTGAGTTTCCTGAATGTAGCTTCTTACATCTTAGAGTAGATGTCTATAGGTCAAGTTCACCAATATTTCGCTGGGAAAATTGGTCTTTTTTTTGGTGACTTCTTTTCCTGGTCTGTGGAGGTCTTCCTAACCAAGGGATACTTACTTAGACTGTTGAAGGAGTTATAGAATTTGCTTTCCTTCTCCCAAGTCATTTCTATGGTATTATAAGGCATTGATCACTTATGTACGCTCTCTGATTTTGCTTAAATGTTGTCCTTTATAACCCTTCTAACTGACTACTTGAGTTCTTATTTGGATTTATGTATGGCTATCAGATTTGAGACTTAATTTGTTTATATTGCTGTCTTTTCCATAGCTCCAGCTTTTAGTTTTTCTGTCTTACGACCACAAGGGGGCAATATTTTCTATCTCAGTCCTATCATTTCTAGCAAACCATATCAATTTGCAGGCTAATATTTTAAAATACTAACCAATACTTTTTGTATCTTTTAAAAAATTAATAGACTTTAAAAAATCAGTTTTAGGTTTACGAAAAATTAACACAAAATTTCCCCTTTATCCCTTTTCTCTCTCCTCCACAGTTAATCCTCCTATTCACATCTTGCATTAGTGTGGGACATTTGTTACAATTGATGATCCAATACTGATATATTTTTATTAATTAAATTTTGTAGTTTACATTAAGGTTCACTTTTTATGTTGTATATTCTATGGGTTTTGACAAATGTATGATAACTGGTATTTGCCATCTTGGTATCATACAGGATAGTTTCATTGCCCTAAAAATCCCCTGTGCTTCACCTATTCATTTCTTCCTTCCTCTGAACCTCTGGCAACCACTTATCATTTTACTGTCTCCATAGTTTTGCCTTTTCTAAAATGTCATCTAGCTGAAATCATAGTATATATTTATTTTAGATTGGCTTATTTAAATTAGCAATTTGACTTTTCATGGCTTGATTGCTGGATAATTTTCTGTTGTATTGGATGTACCTCAGTTTATCCATTCAACTATTGAAGGACATCTTGGTTGCTTTCAAGTTTGGCAATTATGAATAAAGTGGCTATAAATATTTGTATGCAGAGTCTTACATGAACATGTTTTCAGCTCATTTAGGTAAATACCAAGGAGTGCAATTGCTGGATCATATGGTTAAGAGTATCTTAAATTTTGGAAGAAACTGCCAAACTGTTTCCCAAAGTGGTTCTATTATTTTGCATTCCCATCAACAATGCATGAGAGTTCCCGATGTGTCACATTCTCCCCAGCATTTGATATTATCCATGTTATGGGTTTTAGCTTTGTAATAAGTGTATAGTGTATCACATTGTTTTTGAATTTGAATTTGCAAAATGTACGTCTTTTTTGGTGAGGTGTCTGCTGAGTTTTTGCCCATTAAAAAAAATCAGGTTGTCTTCTTATTTTATGAATTTAATGTATGTTTTGAATACCAATCCTTAATCAGATATGTTTTTCTAAGATTTTCTCCTAGTCTATGGCTTGTGTTTTCATTCTTTTAACACTATCTTTTTCAGAGCAGAACTTTTTAATGGAAGTTCACTTACTGATTTTTTTCTTTCATGGAGAGTACTTTGGTGAATCTAAAAAGCCATTACCAAATCCAAGGTCACCTAGATTTTCTTTTATGTTATTATATTCTAGAAATTTTGTCATTTTGCATTTTATATTTAAGTCTATGAACCATTTTGAGTTAAATTTGTTAAGTAAATTGAGCATTCACATCAAAATTAAAAAATCATTATTATATTTAATATAAAATTATGTTTTTATATTAATATGTAATTTATGTATTATTGATATTTTTAAATGAATTAATACTAAACATTTTTAATTTCTTAGTTTTAATTTCTACCATTAAAATTGTTTTCAATGTTTTTATATTAACATGTAATTTATGTATTATTGATATTTTTAAATGAATTAATAACTAAACATTTTTAATTTCTTAGTTTTAATTTCTACCATTAAAGTTGTTTTCAAAGGTCAATCATTTGATAATTCTGCTAGGTCCTCATTTAATTTTGTTGAAAGCTTAGAACAAGAAACTACCTGAATTGTAAAAGGCCATTTTCATTCTTAACGCCAGCACCAATATTTGAAATTCTTCATTTATTTTGTGTCCTGGAGGTTTTTTTTATGGTGGAGTAGTTTACCACAGTGAGATCAGTGACATAGGTCTTTTGTAATGTGAGAAAAGAGTGACTATGAAAGGAGAGGAAGAACAGAATGTGTTCTCAGGCAGATCTGTCTTAAGAAAGTACATATGTGAGAGTTAAGAATGGAAATTGGGCCTTAAAACCATTTGTCTGCCTGTAATTTTTGGAAAGCCTTCAGATTCCTTCAGGTAGCATACACTAGGAAGACACCTGATCTCGATGCTTTGCTAATAATCATATACCTAAACTAATAATGAAAGCATAATAAGGAAGTATAGGGAGAGGTGTGGGGCTGGAAGGACAAGATAATTCTAGTTGGTTTGAAGGATATTGAAAGTAAACAAAATGAAATTCTATGGTGAAATGGAGTTTGCAAAACACTTTCATGTATTATCTACTTTGATCATCATGTCAATCTTGTGGGAGACCTGTGACAGAATGTTGCCCCCATTTTACAGATAAGAAGAATGAGGCTCAGAATTTTTTTTTTTTTTTGATACAGGGTTACCTAGGGAGCACTTTTAATTAGTTTCACATGACACTAATGGCAGAATATTTTTGGAAAATTGAATCTAAATTTCCTCTCATTTGACTGTAAAAATCTTATGATTTCATAAATGTTATTAAGATTCTGCAAATCTGAAACACTGTGGCTCATGATCTTTACCTACTAGTAAATCTTTAACCACCTAAAGAACTTAACATGGAATATATCTCATAGGTATATATTTGCGTTTGTTCCATACTGATGGGGCTGACTCAAATATAATGAGAAATGTAAATAAACCTATCTGTATCTTTTGTTTGTGGGAGCTGTAATGTAGTTTGTATTAACCCTCCCACTCTCTCCCAGTCTCAGTGAACTGCAATGGTCTGGGTTATAAATTTAAATCAGATTAAATTCTACCTTTTGGGAATGAGAAACAAGAGTATTACGTTTAGTTATAACTTTCATTAATGTCATTTCTCACTCTCGGACATACCAAAATTAAACATTAAATGCCATAATCACTAGTTCTGTATATAAGTAGATTGAGGATAAGCAATATGATTTGCAATTCTTTGTTTCCACTCTATATTTTAGATGATCAAACATAATTTGTTTATTGAAATTAATATTTGAAATATTAAAAATAATTTGCTTATTGAAATTAAATATGTGGCTCTTATGGGACACAGTGGGTCATAGTTGGTTGTGAGAAATCAGAAATCATCCTTCCATTGCTGGACATCCACTCCCATGACTGTAGCACTGCCTACTTCCAAGGAAAGTCCTGGAAAATTATAGATCTGAGCGTTCTCTAAGGGTCCCAAGATAATGCCATTCCTGAAAGGGTCTAACTTTTTTGCATCCCCAAAGAAGAAAACGTCGGTTTTCAAAATATGGTTTAATGTATATATCTTCCAGGTCCAAGATGGCAAATGTTACATTTCAAAGACAAATTTATCCATTTAATTATTCTTTTTCAGAAGTCAGTATTCTTTAGGAAGAATTTTTCTCTGAAATTTCAAGAAGGTTTTTAGTTAACTAAGTATTAATTTCTTCTAATATTCTCCAGTGTATCTCAATCTATTCAAGAACATGGCCAATGAAAAAGATTTACATGTATCACCACATTTGAGGTGGTTTAGTTGAAAAAGTTTGCAACGGCTTACCGAATTCCTGGAAGAAAATAAAACACTTTTTAAATGTAGGTAAAAGCATATTGAATTTAAACATTTTTATTTGCATTAAAATTTTTTTCTAGGAACAAGAATATCAATATCAAATCATTCTTTTTTTTTTTTTTTTAAATCTCCAAGGACATTTGTTTCTAGACATATCCAATTGTTAAATGATCGTCTTTGCTTGTTAGTGTTGGAATAGTTTATTCCTGAAGCATTTCTGAAGTCTCATCTGAGAAGGGCACATGGGTTCATCTACTGTGCTATCTCCAGTCTATCACTAGTAGCTGCTTGCAACATTAAGTTAGGAAGATTCTGAGTCTCATCTATGGGTATTATGATTGATTAATTGTGTCTGTTGTGGGCCTGTGTATATTTGGAGGTTGGGATACAAGGGAAGATGGGAATAGGAGAGCACAGTCTGTTACCAAATATTTCCAGCTCTGACTTAAACGGAAAGTATGTTAGCAATTAAATGTCTTCTTTCTCGGTCAATTCGATAGGATTTGTGACCCAGTAAAAATATTTTCTCACATTGCTGCAATCAACTATGAGTGAGTAAAGGGGCTCCCTGATTTTATTAGGATCTGTATTGGTCAAGGCAAGAAAAGAACCTTTCTCTCTTACTCTTCAGATGACCTTCATGGCTCAGGGGCATTTTCCCAGCTGAGAGAACTTACCACTTGGGGACCCTGTGGTGGTTTCCTCGGTAGTGAGCATGCCTCTCTGGATGCCTGCAGGAGTGGTCACTCCAAAGTCATTGCCTGCACCACTGGGAGTTGGGAAGGGGCTCCCTGGAGCTCTGCGGATAGGAGGATTTATTCCTGCTTGTCCTGCAGGAAGGATTCCATTTTGGACATCTGGATTAGCCTGACTGGTGGGCAGTATGGCTCCGGAGAGCAAGGGCTGGAAGATGAGGCCTGCGAAGATTTGTGGGGCCACCGGCTGGAATGAGGGAAGGAAACAGAAAACAAAGGAACACATTTTAAGGCTGGCCAACCAGCCTTTTCTCCTTCGAAGGCAGCAAGTTTGGGTAGAAATGGCAGGGTGAAGAAAGTAGAATCAGAGAAAAAAATAAATATGGGGTATTCCCCAGAAGAAATGCCTCTCTTCCTGAGACAAACCTGATGCTAGTTTCACTACTGGGATTTCTTGCTGTGCTCCAATTCCCTCTTAAAGGGAAAGCCACCATCGAGGCAGGTCACTGGAAAAGGAATAATGCATTATTTGCTAATATCAAATATATCTGGAGGTAGAACTAAGGCAGAAAACCTATATAATTATGACAGGCTATATCTCTGTTATTGACCTAAAGCATATCTTTCTTTTGCTAGTAATTTTTTAAAAAGTAATTTACACCAGTTGTGTATTCCTTTGGGGTTACCCAATGGAATTCCTCTTTATTGAACTGTCAATGATTTGCACACTAGTAATGAATGCTATTGCTGCCACACTTGTTTTATTTTATTTTATTTTTTTCTGGGAAAAAAATTACTGTAAGAAGTTCCCCTTAAGAAATAATATGTCATAGACTGGTTTTGGAGAGCGTTCAGGCAGGAACCAGTTTTCTTGGACCTCCCAGTTTTGATGGCATTCTCATAGAGTAAAAGAGTCAAGAGCTCATAATTAAGAGGTGAGAAAGTAGAAAAGTTTAAGGGGGTCAAATATATGGTGACGGAAGATTTGACTTTGGGTGGTGAACACACAATGCAATATACAGATGATATATTATTGAATTGTGCACTTGAAATTCATGTATAATGATATATATATATATATATATATATAATTTTATTAACCAATGTTACCCCAATAAATTTAATAAAAAAAGATTCAGGTCAGTTTCCTTGAGCACGGTTCTCAGTTTGCATAAGAACCATATGAGGAGTTAAAAAGGCAGTTTCCTAGGCTCCATTGTTAGATTCTGATTGAGCAAGTAGAAGACAGGACTTAGGAATCTCTATTTTTAATCAATGTTCCCAGTTGTCCTGGTTTGGTGTCCAGGACTGAAGTTTGGGAAGCACTATCTTGATTTACAAGATATTGAAAGTAGATTTATACTGGATAAGAGATAAAGAGTAGAATACAGAAGCTTCGAATTGAGGGTTGTGACATCCATAGATTTGAAATAGAGAAGGTGGGCCATGCTCATCATTAAAAAATAAGACAAAAAGAATAGACTTTATAAATTACCTAGTGCATTCCATATAGTAAAGGTAAGTGTTGTTTGATGAAACGTGTGTGTGTGTGTGTGTTAGCTGTATGAAAAATGTAACTGTTGCTATAAGTTTTACTAAAAAGATTTGAAAACCACTTGCATCGTGTTGAGAAAAATGGCTTTTAATCTGAATCTACTCTTTTTTTTGACCTTGCGGCTGAAGTTGCTTAAGCTCTCTGAGCCTCAGTTTCTTTATAAAGTTGGGTTCAAAATCTGTACTTTGCAATTGGTGAGGATTAAAGGCAAAGTATGTAAAAGATCTATTAAGGTACCTGTTATATAGAAGAGACTCTAAAACTGGTAGATGTGGTTGTTCACATATCAATGTCGGCAAAACAGACCATGACTTGATTTTATTTATGGGAAATCTAGCAAATCTCTACCTTTTTCACTATAGAAAGATAAAAAAAAAAATGCATGTCTTCCAAGACATTGCCTCAATTCTTTACTTTGGTGTCATGTTTAGATACATTATTTTTTTCTAAAAATGATCTACAGAGAAAATGCATAAAGTGCCCAGTAATGATAATATAAATTTTGTTTAGATTAAGTCTTCTAGCTACTCATGTGTATAGGGAAGAGTTCATTCATTATGATAAAATGTTAGAAAAAAAATATTATTTTCATACAAAATTTAAAATTTAAGTCAAGAAAATTAATAGTTCCTGAAGTAAATATCAATATGTGTATTATTTTACATCTGCATGCATTTCAATAATTTATAATCCTAGATTTTAATCAATGTCAAGTTAAAAATATGCTTTGACTTTTTAGATAGAACTGAATCTGACATCAATATACAGAAAACAAAAGCTAAGTCAAATAAATGGAAAAGTAGCTGGAGAAAGATGATAAAATTGCCAGCTAGACAAAGATAACCTAATGCAAAACATTCAGTTATTTTTAGTATACACTAAGTTGAGGTTTGTGGTAAAAAGAGACTATGGATATGAGAACAGAAAATAGCATTGTGGTAGCAGTGAAAAGAATTTGAAATGTTAGTAATTAAAATTTTTTTTTTTTTACCAATTCCTCTGAGCTTAGGATGGTCCCCTAGAAGGAAAATAATAACATAAATTATTAGACAAATTTTAATACATTCATGGCACAATATGTATAACATAACTTAAAAATTTTAAATAGTTTTAAAGATTATAAAGAAAGATTTTTTATTTTCAACAATATTTTAAAATGCCTTTGTAACTTGTACCACAAGACTTAAGTCTGCACATGACATTGCATTGCTTATACTTATTATCTGAATGATGGAGATCTTCTGGATTTTAAAAATTTTATGTTTTTCTATTATTAAGCAATAGAAGCATATTGGAGGAAACTTGGAAATGCAGAAAGCAATAAGAAAAAAATATATAATCCCATCATGCATTTTGTTGTATTTTCTTCTAGTTATTTTTCACACATTTCTTTTTTTACATAATAGAAGTCATGTCATTTATACAATTTCTGTTTTACCTTTTCTTTCAATACTATACAACAATTATTTAACTATGTTATTGATAAATTTTAACAAATAAACTTTTGAGTAGTGACAAAGTGTTTGCTTTTTTTGTTGCACAGTTTAATAATTTTCTTTTTGTTTAAATTTAAGTTGCACCCAATATTCTTCTGTATTCTAAATATGATTTTGCTGAATATATTTGTAAATAAACCTGTGATATATTTTAGATTATTTCCCTGGGATGTGTTCCCAGATGTGGAATTAAGAGTTGATATGAATTTTATATTCGATTCTGTTTTTAAAAGTAAAAGCTGCCACCTGATGCTCAGTTTTGATCTTGGTCCCTGGTAATTTTATCAATGATCTCAAGAACTACCTTTTACAAAGGAAAATAGAGAGAAAGAAGAAAAAGTGTATGTGTCATTTTTTAGGGAAAAGATATGTGATTAATAAATAAATTTGAAATGAAAAATGTCCCCCAAATTATTAATCATAGACCAGTTCCATTAATTATTTTTTTTCTTAGCAGTGTGGTTTAAAGGATTAACTCATTGCTTCACCTGTGACATTTACTAATTGTGATTGTAACTGAGTAACAAAGTATCTCCAGTTACTCATCTTCAAATTGGCAATAAAAATGTTGTCTATCAAATATTGTTTTGAAAATTAAATGAGATAGTACATAATAAATAATAAAGTACTTAAGACAGTGCCTGGCACATAGTAATCACTCAGTAAGTGTTAGTTCTTGTTATTATCAATATCCATACAATGCAAAATAAAAAGGAAACTTGGCAACTATCTGGTGAATTGAGGCAGGATTAAATATTTAACACTAAGATGATTTAAAACAAAAATCATATTACAAAATAATCTTACCTGAGCTCCAAGTTGTGCTACAATAACTGGTAACATCTGAAAAAATAGTGAGAAATTCCATAAAAAATATATTCAAAGGTAAGTTCTGGCAGAAGATACAAATATTGAAACTTTCTTAAAAATGTAATATTTGTTTCTAGTGTATCATCTATAATCATAGACATAGACTCATAGAACTGGATGGGAATCAGAACTCATCCAATTTGTATAAAAAAGAAGATTAGATCCAAGATAACTTTGAAACCAGTCTGAGGAAGCACATTTAGAAGGCAGAAGTGAATAAATTAGATTATCAAAAAATAATTTTGGTCTTAAGTCTTTTCCAAACTGAAAATTATTATGAAAAATTAATGATATAAAATGTGATAAAAATGCATGTGTTCATTTTGTATGGCATTTCAGAAGACACATTAAAAATGTAGTGGATATTTTAAAACACAAAATTTTCTTGAAGCATGTATAGTTAGTCTCATATGTTTGTTTGGATTTTTACTGTTGAAATAGAACACTGGTAGGAAATTATGGGTGACATTGCTCAATAACCCATGGCACAGGCAGAGAGATCTTAGAATTAAGTGAGAAATACTTTAATGGTTGCTGATAACTATGTAAATGTTATGAATTTATGGTTGAAAAAATTGGGATGAAGTACTGGTGTGCTCTAGTACTCTAAGAACTAAAGAGTTTATGGAAGAGAACTAGGGTTTTAAGATTTATCTTTATTTCTATAGAAATTCACACAGTGCCAAGAAAGTGATCAAAATGGAACTTTTAATATCAATCAACCCCAAATATTTGAAAGTCATATGAAATAGACTGTTAAATTTATTATTTCCCTTGAGTTGGTATAGTAATATCCATAGTGCCAAAAGGTAAAAAGCACATAGATTTAGGAATTTTTTTTCTCAATTAGATCCTTGGAAACTGACAATACAAAAACAAAAACAAAAAACAACTAATCTTCAGGGTGGCAATGGGAAAGTGGGTTGTGGGGAAAGGGACACTTGGGATTTAGGAGCAAACAAAATAGAAATTTCTTTAAAGGTGAATGGGAAGGGACAAAAATACAAATAGGAAACCAAAGATGTCTAAGTAAAAACTGTAATGAAAGAATTTAATTGTTCACTAATGTAAAAATAAGGAGAAAACTTTTAAATTAGTTTTAGAAGAGAAATTATTTGAAATAATTTTAGTTAACACTGAGTGTTTACTACATGGTGGGCACTGTTTTAAGTATTTTATGTCTATTTACTCGTTTAACCCTTATAATAGCTCTAGTGGTAAATTCTACTTTAATCTCCATTTTAAATTGTGAGGAAAGTGGGCCACAGAGTGGTTAAGTAACTTAGCCAGCATCACACAGATAGGAAGTAGACAGCTGGGATTTGACCAGAGGCTGTATGTGGTTCTAGAGTTCACACAACCACACTGGTCTTGCTTTGATAAATGGAAGCTGTAGACAGGTGCCCAATTCTGGAAGAAGATGCCACCTTGGATAAAGAAAGGCATGGTCAGAGGGATTGACAGGGGATGCACAGGAGTCTGGTACAAGGACCCTTGGTGCCGGCATAGCCTAGAGACACTGAAGAATTCTCACTGAGAATGGGGATTGATTTATATTATTGCATGTTAGGGAGTGTGTAATGTCAAACTCTCTCTACTGAACCTTAGGTAACATCTATGATGCCTACTATTGTTTTTGACTGGAATGGATATTCTTTGGTGAATATGAAGATGTACTAAGTCTGACTTCAAGGTTAGACAAGAGCAACAGTTGAAAGTGAAATTGGGCAGTCAGCATAAGGAATATGCCAGGATCACGTGTTACAGAGATTCTCATTTTATTTGTCTGCCTCTCTCGTCTTTTTTAGAGGATCATTTTTGTTATTGAGATATAAATAAGCAGCAAGTATGTTGAGTGAAGGCTCTAATATATCTATAAGAAATAAGTACTGACATAGACAAGTATACATCTCATATTAAAAAAGAAAAGTAAAAATTAGTTATGTTACAGAATTTCACAAATATGAGTTAATGCAGTATAGAGTAGCTTGTGTTGTTACTTAGGACAAATGGAGGTACAGAAAAAAGTATTAGTTGTATATGGTGTAGAATTTAAATTGAGCAGGATAAAATTATTTTGTCAATGAAAGTCAACTTTGATAATAATTACTAATTAACACAGCCCACTCTTATTAAAACCTGGAGGTGTCCATAGTGGTAAGAAGATGGTAAGGATGTATTGGTCCACTGTTGTATTCATGCTTCACAATTTGAGAATGTGTATTAAAAATCTTACATTTTTGTATGACTTTGGACCTACAAATTCTTTTCCTAAGAACTGGTCCTAAGGAAATAATCATTGATGTGGTCAAAGACTTAGTTATAAGGATGTTCGCTGTATCATCATTTATAGAAGGAAAATTTTAGAAAAAAAGTTTTGCAATACAATGGAATAAAAAGCAATCATTAAAAACAATGCTATAAGTGAATATTTTAAAACACAAAACTATTCAGTCTATTTAGTGAAAAAAATCAGATTATAGAACATTAGATATGCTAAGAACATATTTCCTTTAAAAAATGTACTTACACATCATAACAAAAAGATAGGAAGTACATAACTTAGGATGTTGACAGTTAATTCCGGCTCTTAGGATTATGGATAAATTTTATGTTTTTTTTTTTTAAATCTGTACTTTCTGAGTTCTCTATAATTAACATATATTATGTCTGTAATAAATAATAAAGCTTCTATAAAATTTTAGACCGTTGTGTGGGAATGATAGTGCCTGAGATCACCTGTTGGGGAGAATAAGTTATCCATAATAGCTTAGTCTAGTCATAAAGGGGCATTATATTTTTCTCCAGAGCCTAATAATATGTTTGGAGAAGTTTCAAAAAGGTAAAAATTTGGGCTTTCTCTGTAGTTAAAATTCAAACACTTCTGAAAGAAGTGATACCCTAAGTATGTCATTTATATTTTAGTGTGAGAGCCTTTTCTAGAATTTTTCCTAAAAGCAAACTATGGTGGGAGGAGAAGAAGAACTAGAAAGTCTTTGGGGGACTTTGGAGAGGGCATGAAAAGAGGTACAACAAAGGGAAGATTAGATTTGCTGAATTTAAATTTTATCCATCTCTTAATTTTAATCAAGGATGATTCTTATCACCCAGCAAGTATTCAGTGGAAAACACAACATGCTAAAGGAGAATCCTGATACCTCTCAATTTCCCCCCCTTATGCTTTTTACTTTTCAATCTTCCCAATTGTTCACATTTCCCCATTACCCATCACAAATATATTCTAAATG